TAGGTTTAAACCTGAATATTCCATTAAATTCCAGGGAATATTCTACGTTAAGAGATTTTGGGCCACTCCGTGTACTTATCATTTCTACTGTGGAAACCTAAAATAGACGGCGGCCATTTCGTGTTATTAGGTTTATTTATCGTAGCGTATGATGATTCAAACATAAGGAAAATGCCGGAATTTACAACGAATGAAAAGAAAACGTCCGAGAAAAACTGTACAGTTCGGATTGGTTCCCAGCGTGTTTCCCCATTGAGCTTTCACTTTACAATTATACTCGTGTATATATATATATATATCAACTTCATAAAAAACAAACTCCGGGGCCTGTAGTCCGCAAGCGAGTAATACCGACCCAGCGACCACTCCTTGTCGGCGAAGTTAGTTCCAACTTTTGGGGATAGAGGGTGTCGCCTGGTCAGCGCAACGGATCCCCACGGCCGTTAATCTCGGTTTTCTAGACCGGAGCCGCTATTTCCTTGAAATAGCTCCTCAAATATCCTCACGAGGCTGAGTGAACGCCGTTCCAGACCTAATACTTCTCAGAAAATCAGGTAGCGCCGGGAATCGAACCCTGGACCTCTGGGCCTGTAGCCAAGAACGCTGACCACTAGACCACAGAGGCCGTCTTTAACAAGTCCTTAGTGACATATATATATATATATTTTTTTTTCCCCTTGGCACTACAGCCCCAGTGGGCCTAGACCTACCTCCATAACTCCGTTCACTTCGGTTTTTCTAGATCTTACACATTCGGCAGGACTCCTTGGGCGAGTGATCAGCTCGTCGCAAGGCCTCTACCTGTACACGAACACAGAAAAACGCACACAAATATCCACGCCCTCACTGGGATTCGAACCCACGATCCCGGCTTCCGAGCGAGCGAAGACAGTGCATGCCTTAGACCGCTCGGCTACCGTGACCGGCGATATATATACATATATATACCACGTATTATTTACCCATGAAAGAAGAACAACTCTGAGAACCTAAAGTGGTGGCTCCACAGGGCAGGAACTAAATCTGGCACTTATACTGTTAAATTTAAAGTTATCAGTTGTATTCTCGCACCACCTTAGTTCGCAAGGGGAAGACGCCAGAAATATTGATGAAGGAAATAAATTGTCTCTTTAAATGTTCCTAGGATACTTAATGACACTTCTTCGCCCAAGAGGTTATGCAACCTCGGAAGGCTCAGAAATGTGATCGGGAATTATACGAGGTTTAGGATTACGAAAGGGAAGACTGTGACATATTTCATCATACCGTTCCTGCACGATCATGGATACATTAAATAAAGACCTACGAATTCCAAACCGGATACATCCGGGAGAGTTGTGGCAAGACCAACATATTTCCTCTTATTCTGCTGGTGGTGCAGCTTTGCGGACTGGCACAGTATCTTTGTGGCTGCAAATGGCTACAGTAGTTCCTGGTGTATGCTTGCAGGACATGAAAACACAGCCCATACTGTCACATTGCAAAGTTTCACATTCATGGAGAGGTCTCATCTCTGATATTAGTAACTCTTATCGCTCTTATCGCGTCTGAAGAACTTTATTACCGTCTACCGAGGTTCATGAATAAGCCGCCTTGCTTTCTATGTGGAACACCCCATCACCATCTTTATATCTTATCCTTTGTAATTCGTTAATGAAAATCATCTTCCCGTTTTTTTTCCTGTAGCGCTACAGCCCCAATTTGGGCCTAGGACCATGAAACTCTCCGCTTCACTTCAGTTTACTAGATCTTACACATTCGGTAGGACTCCTTGGGCGAGTGATTAGCTCGTCGCAAAGCCTCTACCTGTACACAAACACAGAAAAACGCACACACACAAACTAAACATCAAGGCCCTGAGTGGGATTCGAACCCACGATCCCGATTTCCAAGCGAGCGAAGACAGTACATGCCTTAGAGCGCTCGCCTACCGTGACCGGCCATCTTCCCGTTTACCTTTAGTTTTAAACTGTTCAATTGATAAAGCGCCGTTAAATGTATCAAGAATCAATACACGTACATACATGGGCCTACACAACACTTTATTTCTCACACTGAAGAGCTATGACGCCTTCCTCAAACATCCCACACAATTCATTACCAGTAACTAACTGCAAGAGCTTAGTTTTCTGTTTTAATCAAGCACGTTCAGTTATGTAGGTTATATAGAGTTCAATAGGAAATTATTAAGAAAGACGACGTAGGAGGCTTGTGGTGGGGAGTTGTCCTGTTCTGTTTCGTGGATCCCAGCATCAGAACAGACGGCCTTTGGGTCGGGAACCAAGTTAGGAATCTCTCGAGTATGAAGCAAGGGTGACAACCATTACGTCACTGTCCACAATAGCATTAATCTTTATAGCTGCACTCCCTCATCTATCTCAATGTAGTGGTGTTTAACTAAGCTATGTGTGATATTCAGCGCAGTTCAGGTGTTGGCCCCGTCGTTCAGTCTGAGACGCGGTTCAGTGAGCAGACTGCGTCGTAACAAAACACATTAATGGAGTGGTAGGAAGACATAATGGCACCCCGGCTCCAAGTTCAGCCTATTGTACACGTCTTGGGAATTTTACAATTCACCGTTGCAGTCCTGCCATCACAGAGGAAACAAGGAGGTTGGCAGTTGATGGAATGCGTTCCTGAAAATGAAATTACGTGTTATAGATTATATTGTCACGCGTAGGGTTGTGCGTGACTTATAAGGCGGGCTTTAAATTGGATGATTGGATTCATTGCACAACTCAGGACTACAGCAATACAGCGCTATCGCTCTTCTACACCCTTTACAGTTCACTGTTATATACGCACTAGGATTCTCAGTCTTCACTAGTCGTATCCTGGCAACGAATTTATAAGTGTCTCACTCTAACTTCAAATCACAAGTTAAGTCTTCTTTGCACCGATTAATTCCTTTTTTGCCATTTCCTCTCAATCACCTTCGACTGCTATCTCCAGAACTGGACCAAATTCTCTTCCGACTATTGTTCTGTACTCTCCAAACTACAGTAAAACTTGGTTATAGCAACATCGCTTTCTGCGACACCTTGTCTATTGCGTCAAATATTCAATGGTACGAACTAATTCCTCATAAAGCTACTGTTTTTATACCTTGCTTACTACGATATGCACAAATGCATCAACCTCGTATGTAACGTCATTTTCATTCCTGAATTTCATTGATATCGTGGGAAAGTTCGATGTGTCTGCCCACCCTCACTTTCTCTACTTGCTGACGTGACTGTCCTGGAAGAATACGACCGCGGGCTGCAAGAGGAGCGTGGGTTTTATGCGAAAACAAGGGTGTGGGGTGGGACTGCGTGAATAGTGCAAGAGGACGCGGCAGGTTGTTAACTGCATTCCTTTCCTAGAATCTCGTCTAACAGGACCTCACATTGTCTACTTACCCTATAGTGTTCCTGCCTAAACCCAGAGAAGTGCAGTAGCGAAAACATGGCAATGAAAAGGAAAGTTTTAAGCATTGAAGAGAAAGTTAAAGTGATTCGTGAAATATTGTGTGTATTGTCAGTGAAAAGCGCTGTAATATGTCTTTGATATTACACATTTGGGCAATTCCACTTTAATGTTACGTTAGTCTGTACTTAACTACGTATTTCACTAAAAAATGCAACATTTTAACTCGGTTTTTGGTAGATTTTTACGTGACTAACATAAGGCTACTGTGGAAGTGCCCATTTCGGTTACAACGACATTCGTTTATAACGACACTATTCTTAGGTCCCTTTGATGACGTTATAACCAAGTTCTACTGTACTTTCTTCGTTCCTTTATAACCCCTCAACAAGGACCTCACGGAAAACACCCATGTCTATTGTTAAGAAGCGTGTTTACTGATCCTTTACCTAACAATGGATGTCCCATTGTTGCGTGTGCGTGTTTACCTACCCGTTGCCTAACAATGGATATTCACGTCAAAATACCTAGTGGCCTAACTATGCTGTTTAAAGTTTAAATATTACTGACTCAACCGGTAGCATGGGGGGGCACTCTGATACCAAAGTGCACAACTCCCTTTTGACGTGCCTCTGTGGGCCCAGGTTGACGGATGTTAAGGCTCACTAAGTAGCTTCCATAAGGCCGCGCCATAGCTCAAGCGGTTAGTCGCTGGCTTCCCACCGCGGCGGCCCGGGTTCAATCCCGGGTCTGGTCAAGTGGGATTTGTGGTGGAAAAAGTGGCGTTGGGGCGGGTTTTCTCCGAGTACTTCGTTCTCCCCTGCCAATCTTTATCTTACCAAATTCTCCATCATCGTAATCACCCAGGGCAGGCTACAATAGGCCAATCAGTGGCCGCCGTGCCGAGTGGACCCAGTTGGACTCCACGCCCCACTAAGCGAATTAAAAAAAGTAGCCTCCATAACACTTCAGACACAGGGACAAAACAAGACGGCTTAATAGGCAGAAATTTGACTTGCATTCCGGAATTTCCCAGTTCGAGTCTGAGCAGGACACCGACTAACTAGTGTGAGCAATTTCATATCCCTGAAGGCAAGTACTGGTACAGTACTTTCCTTAATTTACAACAGCCTCGTTCCACGTCTCTCACAGTTCATCATTTACTAATCATTCTACCATTCGACCCTGAAGTAATGGTTTTTAACAGGAAATGCTCTAAGGAATAAATTGGAGTGCATTATTGTGCTGCTTCACTATCATCATCATTATGATCATGAACACGAACTAGCAGGCTCAGCCTAATTGCTTGTTCCTGAATCTTGTAGGTGTAGTTGGTTTCTGTGCTTCATGTTCTGTGGGAACCAGGGAGCGCCGCTGACATATCGTATAGTGATACAAACCGTCTCATACGTATTCATTAAGGAGTTGTTAAATGCGACTTTATACATAATTCTGCAATTCATACGCCCGTGGGAAATGCAATCATACATGTAGCTCACCTTCTCTGCCGTAAGATTCCCTAGGTTAAGTTATACCCCAGACTCTCAAGTTGAGAACCAATGTAAAGATAAGGTTTCATTGGCACAGTCGATGGCCGCCCACGACGATAACGGTTGGCAGTCAGTACCGGTCAGTACCATCTCGAGTGCAGTACGTACTAAGTGGTTTGGCTCCAGCGGTTGTTGACTGCCAGCCGCTAGATAGTGCAGTCGGTCTACTGCGACAGACAATCTGTGCTGTAGTGAAGTGCGGGAGCGTGGTTACTTCAGTCTCGTAGTATTGGGTAATATTGCTGTTTTTATCCAGTTTACAGGGAACAAACTTATAATTTAGCTGAGACATTATGTAACTGTTGTGCGTTGTGTGACCATGAAAGTGAGTGTTCCAAATAGGAGGTAATGCATGCATGGATGGGGCCGTATTAGTAGGAAGATGTGGTAAGTACGACATAACCTAATTCGTTTGCTATTATTATTTTATTTAATGTATTTTAAATGAACAATATAACATAATTTCATGTTTATATAGCTCATTCGAAATAGAGGCTAGGTACTGGTTGGCCAAGGGGTCGGGATTCGATTCTTGTCAGGGCAAGAGATTATTCTCTACTCCACAGCTTTTAGAAAAGCTCTGGGGCTCACCCAGCCACCTAATCAATGTATATCGTGGGGGGGGGGCACTTTCCCCCGCATTAAAGCGGCAGGAGTGTGAAGCTGACCACTCAATTCCATCTACCTGCGAGGTCAAGATTGGTGGAGCTATGCCTCCACTCCGCATACGTCTACATGGTGTGGTGCTTAGTTAATTGAACACAGGAACAACTTTGCCTCTACATACTTATTTACTTTAGGCCGCGCCATAGCATAAGCGGTTAGTCGCTGGCTTCCCACCGCGGCGGATCGGGTTCGATCCCGGGTCTGGTCAGATGGGATTTCTGGTGGACAAAGTGGCGCTGGGGCGGGTTTTCTCCGAGTACTTCGGCTTCCCCTGCCGATCTTCATTCCACCAAATTCTCCACAATCATCCTCGCCTATTATCTGGGTCTGGTACAATAGTCCAGAAATGGGCGCAGTTCAAGGGACTTAGTCCCACCTCACTAGTAATAAAAAAATACTTATTTACTCGATTAAAATGGCGCGCTAACGCAACTATACAAAAGCGACCGTCAAATGCTCCATCTCATCTTAAAATGGAAGCCTGTCAGCAGGCTGGAAAAACACAGACTATTTCGTAAACGTAGGTGAAAAGTATGCTCCAACATATTTTAAAAAGCGTTTTTTACGTATTTGAATGCCTTACCGGTACATGATATGAGAAAGGCCTAAAATTGGTTGTTTCTCAGGCCTATCACAGTGAATAGTAGTATCGGATATCATTCTCTTTACTTCGTTAAGTATTCGTCATGTTCAAAAATGTTTCAAATGAAAGTTATGGACAATAATGGAGTCTGTATTCATGCCATGTGCCAATGTTTTCCTACGGAACTCCATTCAGGTTCTGATAATTTTGTTAATTATAAGTCTAGATATTCTACTGGACCCATACGAACCAAAGTTAATTGACCTGACAAATTTTGGTGTAGTCCCTCAGGAGCTAATTACGTTGAAATCTGTTCAGTAGTTGCGGAAACGAAACACGCAGATGCATGAACGGATGTTTGCCGAATTAATTCAAAATGAGATGGTTATTTTGAAGTTATAGCCTGCTGTTAGGTGGGTATCTTGTCACCACGGCATGGCGCGTCCTCAGGTTGCGGATGGAGGAGACGCCCTCCGGTTATCGAGGGAAGCTGCGAATATATTGAATAAGCAGTCTCGGACAGCCGACAAGGGATGGTCCTCCAGCTTGGGGGTTGGGCGTGGGGATAACAACTCCTCACCGTAAAAAATAAGCTTGTTACGAAAGACCGTAAGTAAGTTAGCCTGCTGTTCGTTATGATGTTTTGTTATTTCAAGAGTCGGGGAAGAGTGAGGCCCTTGGTATTCCGGCTTTTAATAGCCCACTGTAGTAGTTTAGGACGATAGATGAGGGAAATGGAGTATATGATGGAATAATAATTGGCAGGGGAAACCGAAGTACTCGAAGAAAGCCTGTCCAAGTGCCAATTTGTCAACCACAAGTACCAAATGAACTGATCTGGGATGGAACTTGGGCCGGTGCTACGAGAAACTAACTAACCGGCTGAGATACTGGTTATGTTACAGACCATGAAACGTAAATCTACTGCAGTGGCCAATTACAGCTGTTGCGAGAGTTGTTGAGACCTTGGTTTTCTACGGTGTTATTCCAGTTATGTTACTACTGTTCAGGTAGAATATTGTGTAGTATACACCCTTTGCTAGGTAAAAACCTTGAAATAAATAACAAGAACAGCCGTTGCTAAGCAACGGTGCAGTAAACACACCTCTACAACAATATAGTTACTGATGGAAACGGTGTTGAAGACAACTGGAGCGACCTAGTATTACACAGTGGAAAGTCTTGTTGCGAAGATGAAGGTGAAAGGTCGCTTTCACGTCCCAGACGCTCTGCTGCCGGGAATAGGGACTCCGATATCTTAAGGACAGGAAGTTGGCTGGGACTCAGAGCTGGTCTTGACGCTGTGGAGAAGAGAAAAATATCTTGCTCCTGTTGGGAGTCGCAGTCGTACGCACGGGATAACAATATGGTTCATCATCTCGAAGGAAGCAAAATTTAAACTTTAAAGAAGCTACGTCGTGACACGTACACGTATGTTATCAGGTGGAAGGAAACTTCTTTTAATTATGATCGAAAATAAGAGATTTAGACATGGGTAATCTTCACAAGTGCCGGTCACTGTAGCCGAGCGGTCTAAGACATGCACTGTCTTCGCTCGCTTGGAAACCCGGATCGTGGGTTCGAATCCCACTCAGGGCATGGATGTTTAGTTTGTGTGTGTGCGCGTTTTTCTCTGTTTCTGTACAGGTAGAGGTCTTGCGACGAGCTGATCACCCGCCCAAGGAGTCCTACCGCATGTGTAAGATCTAGTAAACCGAAGTGAACGGAGAGTTCATGGAGGTAGGCCTAGGCCCACTGGGGCTGTAGTGCCAAGGAAAAAAAATCTTCACAAGTGCTTGCAAGACTTTGTTGACTGTTCAATATGCAAGCTCAGATGTGTACATATTCTAGGGTATTCAGCCCCCCACCCTCTTTTTTTATTTTCTCTAGAACTGTAATTTGCACGAGAAACGCGAACTGAACGTCTGTTCGAAGGAGCTTTCGCCCTTTTAGATATTAAAAAATTTCGCTTGAAGAGAGCGCAGATGTGCGTGTAGGTCCTGTATCTGTACTTGTTGTGTATGGCTGACACATCAACTTAAAATGATCGTGTAACAATATACATGGATTTCCACAAACGTAGATTTCTGTCATAAATGTTAGTACTACAGACAAGTGTTCCTCTAGCGGTCATCTAGTGGTGACACTGTTCTCGTACATCGGTTTGAGACTTGTGTTTGGCGCAATGAGTTGTCTAAAGTGTAGGCCTCTCTAGTGTCTCACAGAGGTGTTTTGATATCAGTCAATTTGTTTACGGAACCACCAGCGTTATTTATTTTCAGAAGTTTCAGTTGTCAATAATTAGATCTGCATTCTTTCGTTTTTTTAAATGCAATTTTATTATGTCCGCATGCAAGGGCTATATTATTATTATTATTAATGAGTGTATTTTTTTGACACTTTAAAATATTTTTCTTGTAATACATATATGCATATTTTTTCGCGATCTGCTTAGTCGCATCTTGTTCCCAGAATTAACAATGATATCTTGAAGCATCCTAAAGTGGGACGCATATGCATTTAAATTGGTTTTAAGTGTACATGTCCATATTTGTTCCCTGTACTGCGGGATATGCAGAAGGTTTATGGCATTTTGCTTTTAAAAACGTCCGTTAGAATTAATTTCCACAAGCTTATTACTCTGAAGTGATTACACCACAGGCCTGCTACAATAAAGCAGTAGATGGCGTTATGTGGTCACTTTGCTTCTCTTTCCGTATGGGCGGGGGGGGGGGACAGTCTGGTTTATGGGTTCACAACCTTGGGCTGAACCGGGGCTTTGAGTGAAATGTTTGCATTTGTTTTATAAAATGAACTGTTAATGGGAAAGTGGTGTCCGTCCGTCTACCTGGCTTGGCGTTTCACCTCGACTGCTGGGATGCATTTCTGTGAAATTCTTCTGAACTGAAAATTGTAGAGTGAATTGTATCTCGGTTTTTACGTATGTCAGTTTTACTTTCGTCGGAAACCAATCCAATACAACTTCTATTCTACTGTAAGGAAAGACTGTGGTATCAACGTTGCCGTGTGTGTGTGTGTGTGTGTGTGTGAGTGAATGAATGCGTAGTTACGTCAGCAAGTCCAGATATAACCTCTCAAATACTCTGGCTCTTGTTCATGAAATAAACCAAGCAGGTTTCTAGAGGTAACGCTCCAGACTTGTATCTTGGAGGTGTTCTGTTCGAATCTTGGCCTGGACACTTGCTTTACTAACAGATGATTTTCTTGGTTTTACTCAGTCCTTCCAGTCAAATTCTGCAACAGTACCTCGATTACTCGTAGACAGTTTCTTTATAAATATTCTGTAATTCATCATTAATCCTGCCATCCGACCCTATATAGCCTCACTAGTGAGAGCGTTACAATCTGCAAAACAATTAATGAAATTGCCTGTTTTATTCGTTCGTCATTTTGCTGCAGAGGCGAATTTTGTAGGGTAAATATTAGCTTCATTCAGTGCAGCATTCTAAAAACTACTATAATTGTATAATGGAACATCTTTAAACTTTTAAGAGAGTTGTAAGATTTGAGGCTTTCACGGCGATGACTATGAAGAAAGCAGTCTTCTGGGTTTTGGCACCGTGTATATGTGGTGTTAACGGACGTTTCGGAGGAACGTATCGCCTCCATTTTCAGGGTAGAAGCAGACTGCTTTTACCGGTTCTCACGGTCTCTTCGCTTGCGGATTTCTTATATTTTTCCTTCTACCCTGAAGATGGAGGCGATACGTTCCTCCGAAACGTCGGTTACCACCACATATACACGGTGCCAAATCCCAGAAGACTGCTTTCTTTTAAGAGAGTTGTTTTGCAGAAGTTAAAATCAAAACACGATAACCGTTGGAAAGCTTTTTCTGATGTTATAAATGCTGAAACATTTTAACATACATATTTTCGTATTTATTTTGTGCTATATTTTGGAGGCCCTATCATAAAAACTGCGTGACGCTTTCGTTTGTCTGAATAAATAGCGAAGATTTAGGGTGAACTTAACCAGTTTCGTCACGTAGCTTATTTTGTGGTACGGCACTTTGCCACGGAATTAGGAACGTATTTGCTCCATGGATACTTTTAATAATTCTGAGTACATTTCTCCGTAATATACCGAGAGTGTGTATGTTTAACCTTTATAGCGGGAA